ATTATTATATTATTATGCTTAGTTGCCGACTGAGATTAAACCACGACACATGCATTCATTCATGTTCCTGTGCAGTGGTTTTCAGTAGTGATTTCACTGGCACTTCACTTCTGTTTTACAGTTTTTCTGTTTTCCAACATAAAACCAAATAGTCTCATCTTGTTGGTATAATGTTGATCATGAATAGCCTATACTGTGGTTTTTTTGTTGTTACCATATTGTTTTCTTAAACCTCTATTGCAATATGCAATGCAGATGCACTAGGTAGTGCTGCATACTGCTAGTAGGACAGAATGGCAAAAGAGATTTTAGCAAGGTTTACAAAGTTCCGGTGGTGGGGAACGACACTGGTCCCACGGCCAGTTGTCCCAGTGGTATTTCATCTGAGTAAGTCAGCCTGTAAAGTTGTGAGCCCCATTTTCTTCCTTACTTTATCGTATTTCCCATAAATTAGATGATCATAATTACTAAACCCATTTTTTATTTTCTTTCTGTAGATGAGATTTTTCTCTTACAGTATTTTACTAATATTGAAAATTAACTGGGTTGGAGGTACAATTCTCACAATTTCACTATGCTTTTGTTTTCCTTCTATCTTATATTTTGAACTCTGATGCATTTGTTTCTACCAGTAGTCACATTTTCTAAACTGCTCAAAACTTTCAGATTTTTGCAGTATCTCAGATCATATAAGAGACTGTCAAACAATTTAAACCAGACGTTTTTCTTTCAATAGATGCATACATGAAATACTACTTCTGTTACCTTGCTAACCTGAATTTTTTACAAATTTTCTCATGGATTAAACTGTTCTTATATGGACAAAAAGATCACAATTTGCAAACTCAAGCGACCCTTTTCTTTAAGATGTACTTCACAGCTTATCACTTAAAACACTACTGCATTTCGCTTTGATAATGTATCTCTTCAGATGATCCTGCCAAATATTTTCTTTCAAGAAAAGTAATGAAAATGTTCATCTGATCCATGTTTTCTAAGAACTATTCTCTAGTTTGCCCCAAAATTCTGCCTTGCAACACTGATGCATGGGTAGTACCACCGGCTTCCTTGAAAATTTCCATTATTATTGTCACAGAAGATGCATTTGTAAAAAAGGGTACATCTGGTTCCCTGCAACTGAAAGGCTCCTTTAGAAAATGGCAGCCTTTTGTCCCCCCTGCAATTCCTACAACAGCTTTTAAAAACAGGATAATCTCTCAGAGACACCTGCAGGTAGATGCCTCTGCCGAAGAGTCTGTCGTGCAGCTCTGTAAGACATGGCACAAAACTCTCAGTGGGAAGAGGAAGAGCTCCTAAGCTGACCACGTTCCTGCACTCTCTTAAGCCTGAGCTAAGGGCTGAGTGGCCCTCACCGCAGTCTGGACAACAGCGAAGTGCCTGTCTAGAATATAATCAGTTCTTACTAACATACCAGTATCATATTGCCAGCTGTGCTAGTGAAAAACACTCTCTCTATGTTTTTATTTGGCAAAAAGTCCTTCTGTAGGCTCTGTTTGAGGAACTAGTTTTCAGGTGAAGTATACAGTATATACTGTAGTGTATATTGCATGCACAGAGAAGGAGGGGAGAGGATGAAGTTACAGAAAGTAAAACTAAAATTAAGCCTTCTAGGGTAGACAAGGCAAATTACAAGAGCTTCTCTGGGCTGTCATATGAGCTTCAGAGTTTGCAATACTGTAGTGCTATATTCTGAGATCCTCCCATATAATCTGCCTTGAAGAGCTATCCAATACACCTGCAGAAAAGATGTTTCATGTTTTGTGGGGAGGGGAGTTCTCCACAGAAAACCAAGTTTATTAGAGCTCTTTTACGCACCTTTGGTGTAAAAAAACTGGGTGGAGGCAAAGTTCTCATTTGTTGAACTAGCAGTTACACTGGTCCACTCCCTG